ACCAGATATCCAGCTAAAATCAGATCCTAATGGCTGTGTCGGGTGCTTAATATCTCAGGCTGCTATAAATTATTCAAGAGTTCTCCTATACCTAAGAAAAACTGCCCAGCTGAAATTCTCTGCACTTTCTCTTAGAAAACCCTGTTTTGGGACTAAGGAGTCCACTTGGTGGTAGTGCATGTGCTTGGCATTGCTAGGCTCCAGGTCCCAGCCCCTGTACCGCATTCTAGAACACTGCCAGCGTTTTCTACGCAGGGCCATGGTATGCCCCTCACCACACCAAAGGCAAACACTCAGGCCCCAAACCCAGCACAGAAGGATTAAACCTCACACCTTCCTGCAACGCCGGCTTGATAAAGTTTGCCACAAACTCCTCTGCCTCCTTCCCCCTTTCTTTTCTGTGAGAGTCTTCATAGAATCTGGATCTGCCAGCTACTTCTGTTTGAGGACTTGGCAGAATTATACATCCAGCAGGCAAGGAGTGGAAATGTCTCACGAGTAACAGTAAAATCTGTTGTGTTGTTTAAGACTTAACTACGGAAAAAAAGTCCTACTAAATATTGTCTTGGCAACTACAAATATATCTAAGCAATGGAAAAAATCCTTCAGAGTAAATTAGAGGAAGAGATGGGAGGAGAAGGGATTGAAAAGAATTAAGATGCGTTAAATTCAGGTGGCAATTCCCCCCAAAAATATAATCTCTGTGTACTGCAAACACGTACTAGTAAAAATAAGAATTAGATGGGGATTTAGCTCAGTGGCACAAGCACCTGCCTGGCAAGCAACAGGTTGCAAGTTCTATCCCTGGCACACACACAAAAATAAGAATTAAAGAGTAAGAAGATATCTGAAATCCAGTATCAGGCTGCCACCCTTGATATGTATTTATGCTACATATAGATACACACATTCCACTCAATTAAACGTGTATGATCTTTCATTTGGGTTTTCCTATTTAGTGTTGTTGGTAAGAGACGGTCTTCCTATGTTAGTTCAGGCTGACTTTGAACTCCCTATGTAGCCTAGGCTGGCATCAAATTCATGATGATCCTCCTGCCTCAGCCTCCTGAGTGCTGGGATTACAGGCGTGCACCACCATGCCCAGTACATTTAGTGTTTCCTATGGCCAAATAGCCAAAATTTCCCCCTACTGTATTTACTCAAGTGAAAAAAAAACCTTTTTTGACAGAGTCTCCTTTTGTAGTACAAACTGGCCTTAAACTATGTAGCCCAAATTTGAACTCTCAGCAATCCTGAGTCTCAGCCTCCAGAGTGCCGGGATTACAGGTGTGTGCCATTCATTGTGCCCAGCCTGAAGGCATTACTTTTATCTGATAGCACTTTTAGAAACTACTTATTTACAGTTTTTCTTTTTTTTTTTTTTTTTTTAGTTTTTTTCTTTTAAATTTTAATTGTAGCCAGGCACAGTGGTACATAGAGGGGGAAAAATGTGTAACTCCCAGTCTGCTAGATATCAGGTATACTGCGTTCATGTTCCCCAAATTTGAACAATGAATTTTAAGGAACAATGGCGGTTAAGAATAAGGAAAGTGGGGCTGGGGATTTAGCTCAGCGGCATAAGCACCTGCCTTGCAAGCAGGCGGTCGTGAGTTCGATCCCTGGTACCGATAAAAAGGAAAAAGACAAAAAAAAAAAAAAAAAAAAAAAAAAAAAAATCAAGAATAAGGAAAGTTACTGGGAAACAGGAAGAGTTCCTGTGAGATAGGTGGGGCTCGGAATGGGTTGTCAAGGAACCCACTTCACGAGGGGTGGATCAAATTATAATCAACCAATAAGAGTACAGAATCAATAATCTTAGTTTTAGTAGTCTTAGTCTTAGTGGGTGGAGAGGGTGGCCCAATGAGATAATGGTTTATTTATATGGAAAATCTTAAAACAAGTGGTACCAATAATCTCAAGCCTCGTTAGGGAAGAACGAATATGAGGCAGTGAGACTTTAATCTTCTTCCAAAGCCCCTCCAGCACAGTTCTGCTGTGTTCTCCCCCTCTGCAGACCCTCCAGGGCCCAGCCCTGTCTGACTGCCTGTTATTTCTACCTAATTTAGCCATCTACGATATAGGCTCTTGCTAAAGTGGTTTGGGATTCATCCTGCTCCTTCCTCCGCTCACCGCAATGCTGGGATAACAAGTGTGTGCCATTTTTTAATTACAAAAAAAATTTTTTTTTGGTACTGGGGATTAAACTCATGTCCTCGTGCTTGCCAGGCAGACACTTATACTGCTGAGCTATATTCCCGGCCTATATTTTAATTTTAAAACTTTTATTAGTATGTGCAGGACATAATTACATTCATTGTAGAGGGTTGGTGTCTGTATACATCTTTTTTTTTAAAACCCCCCCTTCCCATCTTAGAACATTGTTTTTAAGATTCCAAAATTAGATACAACCATTACTATAAATGTTTTACCTGTTGTATTATTTTTTCCTTCCTCCTTATACACAAAAACAAACAAATCACCCCAACCCTCACATAAACACCAGAACCGCCTGAGGGGAGGCACTGCTTTGCCTGGATGGCACAGACTTGCATTTTGGGTAATGACTCATACTTTACAATAGTACTCAAGGTCAGTGTGTTATGAGATTCTAAAAGGTCAGCTGTGCCAGTTAAGGCCGGCTGCTTCCTTCAGTGCTTTTTTGTTTTTTGGGGGTACCAGGAAGTGACCTCAGAGCCTTTGCACTGATCTACATTCCTAGCCCCTCTTCCCAGGCTCCCCCCCCCTTTTTTTTTTTGAGGCAGGGTCTCATTAGGTAGCCCAGACAGGCCTCAAACTCAGCACACCAAAGTCTTCCTGCCTCAGTTTCTCAGGCAGAGAGGTTACAGGCATGTGCCACTTTGCCTGGTTCCCAACCTTATGTTAATTATTCATTTTTGGAATCGAACTCATGACCTTGCACTTGCCAGACAGGCGCTTGTGCCACTGCGCTACATCCTCAGCCTTTTCAGCCTTTGAAATTTTTTTCTTTTGACACAAGTTCTGGCCAGGGAGCGAACTTGCCCAAGGTTGGCTCAAACTTGTGACTGCCCTGCCTCAGCCTGCCAGAACATATATGTTAACGAATTGTATTTTTAAATGTTACCACACTCGCCATAATCTTCGCTCTCTAACATGAACACACAAACGTTCATTATAGTTTCATTATTTATTTTTTCCTTAAATGCTTGAGCCGGTACCGTGAATGATTGGCTAAAGTACATCCGTCACAAACAGGTATTTAGGTTCTTTCTAAAACTTTAACGAGGTCGTTTGGCTTTCTTAAGTTTTACAGGGAAGTGGTTTACATGCAAAATGAGCTTAAGTGCTACTCTAACTCTGCTACTGGGAAATCCTAGAAAACAACTAATGAAATGCAGCTTCTACTTTTAAAATTCTAATTCTGTCACATTAAATTGGAGGTGTGAATAAAGCTGCTGCATGTGTTAACTAAGTGAAGTGATGTCCTGTATCCTACGTGTTGTTTAATGTGCAAGTGTAAAAGTCAAGTTCCCTGCAGAAATCCAAGCGCCTCCACCCAGTCTTCAGCAAATGTATAAATTCACCGCGCTCCCTCCAGTGGCCCAGCTCCCTTCCTCCCTCCGCCCTATTTTAAATGTAGATAGGGCGACCCAAGTCTTTTGAATTTGAAGGGCTGCTATCTCGGCCCCATTCTTTTCATTATCCTGTTTTGAATGACACTGAGCACGTATGGATTCTTTTACAAAAGCCTCCTCCAGGCTGCCGGCTAATTTTGCATAGTAATTAGCACTGACTTCTGCTGCAAGTCTGCGATCCAAACACAGCTCCTGCGTTCCTCGAAGCTCACTGATGATCTCAGATAACTGAACCCTGTGTGCCTCTGGATTTCAAACCCGAACGGGAGGAACTTGCAAAATGTCTAAATTCCCAGTTGGAGTCGGGGAGAGGAACGGTAACTCAAAACTATACGTTAATTCAAGCCCTCGCCGCCACTGAGCAGCCAGCAGCCAGCATACGCCTTCCTCTCCGATCTGTTCCACCTATTCACTGACCGCGCGCGGCTGGGCCACATGGCCCTCTCTCGCAGCCAGTCAGCTGTGAGCAGCAGATGGGACCATTTGCATTTTTCTTTTTATACTTTCTTCGATCGGGAAATTAAAGGACTTTTTAAAAAATTTACATTCGTATTGTTTGCTTAAAATACAAACGTGGCTACAATGCTGAACTGGGTTTCCCTGTTCTCACCCCTTCCCCATCACGGGGACTTGAGAAAATACCCGCGGGGCAGGCTTTCACTTATCCACTTGGGACCTACTTGGGGTCCGGGAGTTGCGAGCGGACGCACTGAGTTTTTGCTGAGTCCCCCACCGTTTTAAGCGCCGAGTGCACGCGTGCCGTGGGCTCGGGTCCCCGAGAGCGCGCGCCCCTCTCGAGCCCTAGCCCCGCAGCCTCCAACCCCAAAACTTGGGGCTGCGAGCTGGCAGCAGATTTGCAGCTCTCGGGCTCACTGCAGAGGGCGGCCACCCGCTGGGGGAGTGGCCAGAGCCAGCGCTTCCCCGCCGGGGTCGCTCCGCGCGTCCCGCCGGACTCCATGCCCCTCCGCCGGGCCACCGCGCCCCGACGTCTTTGTGCTGGGCGCGGCGCGGGAAGAGCCGCCCTGGGGTCCCGGGCTGCGCCCACAGCCCACAAACGCGGGAGAGGCGCGGGCGCAGGGCCGAAGACGCTCCTACCGTCCCCGTCCCGCGAGGGGAAAAGTGTTCAAAGAGGGATTCCGGGCCCAACTCGGGGCGCAGAGAGCACGTTTGGGCGCGATGGCCCGCGGGGGGGAGCCGCGGCCGCCAGGCGCGCGCAACAGTGGGTGCGCGGCCGCCGCCCCCCGCCCGAGCAGCCGGCGGCCCACGTGGAGGCAGCGCGGCGCCGGCCGAGCGCTCAGGCCCGCCGGGTCCCCGGAGCGCGCGCCCCGCCGCCGCCGCCGCCGCCGCTCACGCCCGAGCGCCGCCGCCGTCCCGCGTGTGCCCCGCTGAGGGGGAGGGGCGGCGGTGGGGGCGGAGGGCTTGTGGTTCCACTGCAGCGGGGGCTCCTGTGTCCTTGTGCGGAAATGACACACGGAGTCCCGTCACGTCACGCGAGAGCGCAGCGCACGGACACACACAAAGAGGGGAAAATACACGGCGCCCGCCCGCCGCCCCCAGCGCCTCCGCGGGCCGCCCCGCCAGCCCCTCGGCGCGCGGCCCCCACCCCGGCCCTCCCCCGCACGTGGCGCCCGAACTCGGCGCGGGCCCCTCGGCAAAGTAGAGAACTCGCGTCCCAGGTAAGTGCGGGGCGGGCCGGGCGGCCGCGCGGTGGCGGCTCCGGGCTGAGGGACGCGAGAGTGGCGGCGGCCACATCCAGCCGGGGTGGGGGCGGGCGCAGGGGAGGGACGTGAAGGGGGTGCAGGCGCGCCCGCCGGCAGAAGCGCCCACCCCGCGCGGGGGGCGCCGGCCGCCCGAGTCCCGCTGCCCACGGGCTCGCCGCGCCCATTGTGCCGCGCGCCCCTTTGTGCCCGCTCGGAACGCCGCGGCTCCATGGCGTTCCGGGGAGCACGCGCGTCGCGCGCGGGAGGGCGGGGGGGGACGCGCAGTGGAACGGTCCGCGCCACAGCCACCGCCCGCCCCACTCGCGCAGCGCGCCGGCCCCGCACCCCCGCCGGACGCCACGATGGGGCGGTCGGGGCCGCCGGAAGACTGCGGAGCCCTGGGCGCCTCAGCCCGGCTGCGGCGGGGGACGGCGGCGCCGCCGCGTGTGGAAGGGGGTGACCGAGCCGGAGCGGGGGGCGGAGACTGGAGGGAGCGGCCGGGCGGGCCGCGCCGCGGCGGAGGCCGACGAGCCGCCGGTCGGAGGGACGCTGCTGCCTCCGGACTCTGCAAATGGAGCGAGGCCGGCCGCGGCGGCCGTGGCAGCCGGGCGCGGAAAGCAACGCGCCCCGCCTCTAGGGGGCGCGGGGCCCTCCCGGCCGATCCACGGCGCTCCGCGGTTCCCGCTGCCCGGGCACTGGAGGCGGGCCGGCGCTTGGGTGTGTGCGCACCCGGCTGGCGAGAGGCCTTCCTGGCCCTCGCGGGGCTGCACCCTGGGGCGCTCGGCGCCCGAGTGACCACCCCCTTGCCCTCCGAGTCGGCGGCGTGGTTTCCCACGCTTTTTGAGGACCTTGTAGCCGATACACAGAAGCATCGATATGCATATTGCTGTATGTTTTCATTAAAAGGAAAGCAAAGTATTTGTTCAGGTGGCTCCTCCGGAGGAATTTTGAGCACGAAGACCAAGGAAAGAAGGGTTATCCAAATGGGCTTACACATTTCAAAGTTACAGAGAAGTGTTCAACTTCACTTTAAAGTAATTTTGCGTGCTTTACTACAGATGGTTACGTGTCACAGGGAGGAGACGAGGCACGGAAGCGAGCCCTCTGGGCTAGATTGATATTTGCAGATTTTTGTTGCCCTCTATCCCACCTCCACCCTGTAGTTTTTTTTTTTTTTTTTAAGTGAAAAACAATGATACAGAATTTCAAAACAAGATAGTAGGAAGTTAACAGTGGTTAATATATTGCATATTGTGATCTTCAGAGTAGCTGCTCAGATTACAAGATAAGGTATGCAAAACTGATCAAACAGTGTAAGCGCAATATTATTATAGTTTCTGGTTTTGCAGTATATAGCCATTCAGGACACCGCAACCTACCCTCGCTAGTGGAATTTGGGCAAGATTTTGTGTCTTCCTAGTTCGCATTCTCAGTTACTAACCCAGTGTAGTAATTTAGTACGTGTTTGTTAAATATTTGCTAAGTGAATGGAGAGAAACTTCTGGATTTGAGAAGATGGGGTCAGAGTGGCCAGTCGTTCAGGTGTGTTAGAGTGTTCTGGGCCCTTGAAATCCTTAGATGGAAGCTAGAGCCTTTGAAATCTGTCATGTGTTGAGGCATGGTGGTGCATGCCTGGGGCACTCCTGTAATCCCAGCACTTGGGAGGCTGAGGCAGAAGAATCTCTGCAAATTAGAGGCTGGGCTACATAGTGAATTCATGTCTCAGCCCCCTTTCCCCCATCTATTATGTAAAAACTGCTCTCCAGCGTGGGCTTCAGCTGGATGAGAGATGTCTCCTGTTGAACTAATTAACAGAAAAGTAAGTCAGAAACATCTTGTGTCGCTCTCCTCCCACTCTATCATCCCCACCACACACACAGGAAGCAGCAAGGCAGGCTAGTAAAGGTGTCCCACTGACATGTGTCTTCCCCTGGGGCCCCTTCATGGCATCTTAGGTGAGCAAAGCCATGGCAAAATGACTGGTATTTGGGAAAAGGGAAATTTGGACTCAATCCTGACAGGTTTGAGTACAAGAAAACTTATTGTTTTTTTATTATTATTATTTTTGGTCAGGGACTCACTACTTTAGGCCGGCTTTGAACTCAGTATGTGAGGCTGGCCTCAAACTCTGAGTGATCCTCCTGCCTCAGCTTCCAAGTCCTTGCCACCATGCCTGGTTCACACTTGTTTTACAACTGAGGTTTTGTTAGCGGATCTTCTGATGACATGCCTTCAATCCACTTTTAATCCTACTTGAGTTGTACTTTTAAAGTCAGCCTTTTTAGTATTTGGAACCTCGCTGCCTGCTGATGAGGCTGCGTTCTGACCATAAAGAAAGCGGCAACAGTTACAGCTTTGGGGAAAATTGCCCTGGTTTTGTGAGCACTGGTACTTTTCAAACTGTAGCTGAAGATGTGTCTAAAAATAAAAAACAAATTGCGAACATGTCCTGCTAGTCCCATGGGCAGCGTGCCACTGCCAAGAGGGCTGGGTTCTGAGAGCCCTGAGGCTCTTGGGCGACCTGTGAACCCAGAGACCCAGCTGTGGCGAGGGAATGGAATGGCCTGGGAACATTCTTCCTGTCCTTGGGGAGAGAGAGCCTTTTTATTTGATTTCACTCTTCTCTGGTTACTTTTTATTTGAAAGAAAAGCTAAACGTTTGTAAATCTTTTGTTTCTTGTTTGTTTGTTTGAAATAGGGTTCTGCTGTGTGGTTTGGGATGGTCTTGGACTCACTGGGTAGCCCAGGGTTTCCTTGGACTGGTAGCTGTCCTCCGGCCTCTGCCACCAGTGTGCTGGGATTACAGGTGTGCGCTACTATGCTAGCCTTTAACCAATTTTGTTTTGCAGTTTGTATTAAAAATTTCATCTGTAAATGAAATTTTTTTTCCCCTTTGGTACCAGGGATCGAACTCAAGACCAGGCAAGCACTTTTGCCACTGAGCCAAATCCCCAGCCCTGGATTTAGCTCAGCAGCATAAGCGCCTGCCTTGCAAGCAGGCAGTCGGGAGTTCAATCCCCGGTACCGATAAAAACGAAAAAGACAAAAAAAAAAAAAAAAAAAAAGGATCAAATCCCCAGCCCTATCTATAAAGTTTTAAAAACTTTTGTAATAGGTCACATTGAGTGCTTTGTAATTTTTACAAAGACACTTGAGAAGATGAGATAGTTGTACTCAGCTTCATTTCACAGAGGAACTAAAGCTTGGATGGATAGATCTTTGGTGTTAGATGCTGAACACTGTAACTGGCTAAAAGCCTTTCTAAAAATCTGGGTTAATGCTGGGGGTTTAGCTCAGTGGTGTAAGTGCCTGCTTGGCAAACGTGAGGTCGTGAGTTCAGTCCCCGATACAAAGAAAAAAAAACTGGGTTAAAGCTAGGCATGGTGGTGTACACTTGTAATCCTAGGACTCTGGAAGCTGAGGCAGGAGGATTGCTGTGAATTTGAGGACAGTTTAAATTATACAGTGAGAGAGAGCCTGTCTCAAAAAAAAAAAAAGAAAAAAAAAGAAAAGAAAAGAAAAGGAGAAAATCTGGGTTAAAGTTGGGCATCATGGCATATGTCTGTTGTAACCCCAGCATTTAGAAGGCTGAGGCAGAAAGATTGTCATTACTTTAAAGCCAGCCTGGGCAATATAGTAAGTCCAAGACCAGCCTAAGCAGCATAGCAAGAAAGACACTGTCTCAAATGAACAAACAGAAAAACACACAGCATAATTTCGGTTAAAAGTTAGAGTTTGCAGCCTGGTTCACCCTGACTCTGAAGTGCCATGTGGCATTATGTCTTGAACTGTACTCCCTGGTGGCCAGCTCGGTCATCTGCGGGCTCTGGCTGCCTGACACGCTCCTGCATCCTGAGCCCAGCACGCAGCTTCTGTCTGCCCCCACCCCTCCTCCAGTCTCTGTTCCCTTCGGAAGGCTGGACGGAGTCTGCCCTCTCCTGGGCCCTTGTCCTACCTGCTGACTCCCCCACAGGGTGCAGAGCTGGCCCGGGTCCCCCATCCGTGCAGGAGGAGGTCCTGTCAGAGTCCCATGGGTTAACGTGTCACATCCCCAGAGTGAGTGTCAGCTGCTGCCCTCTGTCTCAGGGTTTAATTTCTAGCCGTTAAGTGGGGCCTGGAGGCATACACCTGTAAGCCAGCTCAGGAGGCTGGGGCAGGAGGATTGCTGGGCTTCACGGCAGGACCCTGTCTCGAAAAACTGGGTGTTGGGGGAAGGTAATTATCACTGATAGTGGAGAAGTGTACGAAATCACATCATGGGATGTGGTAGTTATGGAAGGGCTGAAGTGAGGTTTTGGTTTTACTTACACCTTTAACATCCTTGAGTTTATTTTATTACTGGTATTTTTTAAACGAATGAGTGGACCATGGGGTTGTAAAAAGTGAGTAGTTAAAAAAAAAGTGAGCAGTATACACCCTGCCTTAGTTTCCAATCACATCAATCACATTCCTCTTTTTTTTGAGGCAAGGTCTCGCTATGTAGTCCACGCTGGCTTCGAATCTGTGGCGTTTCTCCTGCCTCAGCCTCCCAAATGCTGTGATTACAGGCATGTGCCACCACAGCTGGCCCTGAAATGTATTCCTTATTCTGGGGCTCATCTTCTCAAGGAAAGGTGGCAACACTGCGTTTGCTTCACTTAACATCAGAAAACAGGCCTTGGGACGAGGAGGATTTGTTGCAGTGGCCACAGGCAGGGCTGAGAGCTGGCTCCTCCCTGACCTGCACCTCCGCCCCTTGGCAGGTCCTGGCTGGCAGACATTTGTAGGTAGCGTGTGGGGCACATCTGGAGTCAGCTGGCTAGGAGTTGAACCTTGAGGTCTCAGGAAGCCAAGTACTTCCCATTTCTGGGCCTGCGTGACTTGGGGCCAGCCACAGGTCTCTGGTGGCTCAGACAAGGGGCCTGGTCTCTCTGGCCTCGCCACAGTGCTGGACTCTTCAGAGAGCTGGGTGGGTGGGTATCACCACGGCTCCCCCG